CACCCCTCGCCCCTCACTCGCTCCTCGCCCCTCCCACGCTCCTCGCCCATCCCTCGCCCCTCCCACACCTTTGCTCCCACACACCCCTTGCCTCTCCCACGCTCCTCACCCCTCACACACCCCTCGCCCCTCCGACGCCCCCACTTCCCTTCCCTTCCCGCGCCTCTCGTCTCTCGCTCTCCCTGCGTTAGGAACCTAGAGACTTATGTCCGGTAACAGTGTATTTTCCCTCAGGTGCCTGCGAACATGAGTATTTCCAATATAACTTCAGCGGCCGCTGCTTTCCACTTACCCCAAGTCGCTGTGTTTTCCCCACTCGTGAGGATTGTCAAATAAAACACTTAAAGTTCCAACAAAAAGAAAATATATTGTTCAAACGTTCTGAATGACTAATCAATCGGCAAACTGTTCTGCAAAAATTATGTTCTGTATTTTTGAATCACCAATTAATTATAACTAATACCTTTCCCAAGGTTTTGCCAATCTTCTAATTACTTGCGACGCTACTAATTGGGTATATTAACAAGAGTTTTACTTTAAATATCACAACATAATCATCATGCGGTCATCTCTTTTGAACTCTAACCAGCCTCTCCCAAAAACAAAGTCGCCTACATAGCAACCTATTACATTACTCAATTGTTCGTTCCCGTACGAGTTAATACACTCGTTCCAAGTTCTATATTTTCATTTCGTAACAATGCCCCTTCCTTTTTGACTACCTCGAAATGCATAGAACTATTGCATCTCGGCTGGTATTTCGGAAGAGGAAGAAGAAACATGTAATTATTTAAATTCCGCATGTTTTAAGAGACGACCATGGGTTACAGTACGGAGTGAGCAATTCGGTGTAGTTGAATCGCATAGTTTCTTGAACCTAAGTACATGAGTTCGAATCCCATTGTGGGCAAACATTTTCCATTCTGTGTAGCCGCAATTGCTAAGGCATATGTTCCTTGTCAATCTGAACGTTGAAGTAAAATAAGTTGAAGAAAATGGTTGTTCTATTTTCCTTTCGTAACAGCCTCGTACCCGGCTCGCGCGTCGAAGCAGGAGCGGCCGGCGCGAATGCGGGCGGTGCCGTTGGCGGTGCGCCTTTCCAGCCACAGCACGGGCTCCTCGCCTTCCGGGACCTCCACGCTCCACGCGCCGGGCTCGCCCTCGTCCGCCTCCAGCACCAGCGCCGCCTCCGCGCCCCACGCCGCGTTGTACAGCACGGGCACCGCGCCGCCCCCCAGCGCCCGGCCCACCGCCGCCGGCAGCCACGCGGACGCTTCGGCGTCCTCCTCGCCCAGCCGCTGGGCGGCGGCCGCTGCGTCGCCCGCGCCGGCGCCCTGGCCAAGTGAGCAGCCGTACGCACCAACGCTTTCACGCAGTCAAAACTCCACAAATGAATGAGTAAAATCCAGAACGGTGTAAGTGACATTCTATAAATTTTGAAAAAAATTATTCATTTAAGTCAATATTGCTGTAAAGTCATGGTGCTTTGTTTCATCATTAAAACCACGTTATTTTAATTGTTCATTAAAGACACGAAAATACATTGCCACTGAAATATATTCTAAAATAATCATGTTTTTATCTCAGAATTTATAAAAGGTCACTTATACCGTTCTGGTTTTCACGCATTCAAATACGCTACATAATAGTAGTGTAGGATAGCGTGTTGAAAGGGAAAATTCTTTCAATGAAATACACGCAATTTCAACAATAACATTTAATTACTAGCTTCTCGCAGTATAAAGCACATGCCCTCTCCCCACGCAACCATTCGCCGAATCCCGAGTAGAGTGGACGTGTTGCTTACGATTTGCCGAGCGCCGAACATTCGGTATTCGTCCTATCCACCGCGTGCCGTTCTTTAGAACACATCGAAGGGAACGAACATTTGCCGATCACATCAGCTGCTCGGGATTAGGCGAGCAGTATCTCGCTGCTCAACGAATGCCGAATGTGTGGAGCCGCCTTAAGAAGGGACGACCTTGACAGGTCGGGAAAGAAATGAAAGTCACACAGGGCGATGACATTGCCAAAGATAGTGATGAAACCATTTACAAGTGAGCTAACTGTAAACGAAAGCATTGACAAAGTTAGTGCACGGACGAAACTTGCATTTATATTGTCAGCCGTGGCCAAGCCGTTGCTGTCCAAGCAGTCCCTTTTTAAGGCTGCTTCACACATGCGGCATTCGGCGAATCCCGAGCAACCACTCGCCAAATCCTAAGTAGTGAAGACGGGTTGCTTGCGATTCGCCGAGCGCCCAACAATTGGTATTTGCCCTACCTACCGCGTGTTGGTCTTTAGAACATATCAAAGGGACCAAACATTCGCCGAACCCATCGGGCTTGTAGCTCGCCACTCGGCGAATGTGTGGAGCCGCCTTAACAAGGGACGACTTTGACAGGTCGCGAAACAAATGAAAATTCACACAGGTCGATGACATTGCCAGAGATGGTGATGAAGCCATTTTCATGTGAGTTAACTGTAAACGAAAGCACTGACAAAATGAGTGCATAGACGAAACTTGCATTTATATTGTCAACTGTGGCCAAGCCGTTGCTGTCCAAGCAGTCCCTTCTTATGGCGGCTCCACACATGCGGCATTCGGGGAATCCCGAGCAACCGCTCGCCGAATCGCAAGTAGTGTGGACGGGTTTCGCCTGCACTTGCTCTTGCGATTTGCCAAGCGCTGAATAACATTCGCCCTACCCACTGCGTGTCGGTCTTTAGGACATATCAAAGTGAGAAAACATACGTCGAACCCATCGGGATTGTAGCTCGCCGTTCGGTGAATGTCAAATGTGTGGAGCAACCTTAAGAAGGGACGACCTTGACAGGTCGGGAAAGAAATGAACGTCACACAGGGCGATGACATTGCCAGAGATTAAGCCATTTAAATGAGCGCTAAATGTAAACGAAATCACTGACAAAATGAGTGCATGGATGAAACTTGCATTTGTATTATCAGCCGTGACCTAGCCGTTGTTGTCCAAGCAGTCCCTTCTTATGTCGGCTCCACACATGCGGCATTCGCCGAGCGGCGAGATACTGTTCGCCCGGAGCGGTCCCTTCTTATTGATGTCTCTGTTTACCTGCGGGTCTGGGAGCGGCTCGCAGCGGCGCGCGTCTGCGCTGAGGCGCTGGGCCCGCGCGCAGCACTTGCGCGCCTTCACCACGGCGGCGAGCAGCGCGCGCGGCGCCAGTGGCCCGTCGTCCACGGCGTCGAAGCAGTAGGCGCTCGCCACGCCCTCCAGCGCCGCGCCGCCGCCCCGCCGCGACGCCCCGCGCACCCACACCTGCAAACACGCACACGACATTAGGTAGGGGGAGGAGGGGGCGTGTGGGAGATGGACTGATGTTCCCGTGCACGACATACGTACGGTAAATAGGACTGTTATATGAGAGCGTAGGCTTCCGCGGCCGGAGTCTGTATTTTCTAGGCTGTCCGGGTGACGCCGCGTCCATGGCGAAGGTGCCGACGTTTCGGTCGCCATTCTGCGACCTTCCTCAGGGCGTAATGCCAAGGAATGAGAAAGGTCGCAGAATGGCGACCGAAACGTCGCCACCTTCGCCATGGACGCGGCGTCACCCGGACAGCCTAGTAAATAAGGACTGTTATATTCCGATGGAAACTTAGCGGCACTTTAAGTTCACGAGCCGGACGGAGAGGGAACGAAGGGATTAAAGAACGTACTTATTGTAAGAAAAAACACAAATTTCTTAAAATACTGTATGCTTTATAAACAGGTACGAATAGTATGTCCAATGAGGAAAATAAGACTATTAAGCTGGATTTACACGAATCCTGTAGATCTACTTGAGAAAAAACATGAGTTTTCAACTTCATCGAAAATCCGTATTGTCTAGCTAGTTTTCGATCACACGTATGGCATGAAATATATCAGATCGTGACGCTGGATGTGCTCTCCTGAATTTCTTTTGAGAAAAAGGTCCCTTTAAAATGTTTAGTTAGGCAACATTTTTCTAATTATTGTATTTCATAAAAGTAAAAATTAATCTTAAGTCTATGATTTAACACACTTCAATGGCATTTCGAGAGCTTTTGCACTCTCAACTTCAGTCTGATGATTTAATAAAATTGATCTTACTAATTCCTAAACGTATAACAATAATCCAATTTGACATATAGATGACCAACATACACACAAACGTACTGTATTTTTAATTAAGATATCTTAATATCCGACAGAAGATATCTCTTTCTACTGGCATTTTAGTGTCTGGTCGGGGAAGTTAAGCATTTTTTATAAATACCTAAAAGTTTGCCAAAAATTAATGTTTTTGAAATTTATAAAGCTATTGCTAGTAAAGACGCATTTTTTTTATTTCCAAGTTATCTCTCAAAGCAGACCGCCTGCGAAAGCTATGCTGTAAGGTTACTTCTACAGTACCGTTCAAAGGAAAATTCTAACGCACGAGTCCCGTAGATGGCGGAGTTTTGGTTCTAGCTACTTAGCTAGGTCGAATTCACCGCTATCTGGAAGAAAATTCTAACGCGCGGCTGTGTTGATTGGTAGTTTTCCTCAGCCGAATGCTAAAGCAATGTCCTGACAAAGGCTCTCACTCACTCAAAGCAATATCCTCGAATAGGAAGGAATCTATGTGAATGTATGTGATAAAAATCTAGATGTTGGCTGAAAGGCATTGAGCCCCACCTTGAACTCCGGCTTGGCGGGGGGCGCCGTCAGCCTCCAGACCGCGTCGTCCTCCTCGCCGACCCGCACGGCCACGTTCCACTCGAAGCCGAAGTTGTCCACTTCCACTCGCGCGCCCGACGCGTTGAGCCACGGCGTCGGCGGCACCCACGCACCCACCTGCGCAGGGGAAAAACGCAAATAGCCGGAACCGCTTTTTAGAGGCGGTCAAAGTGGTTGAATCGCCCGCAAATAATATACCTTAGGAGCTCACCGACCGCCAGACAAGCTTCCGTTATCCGTAACGAAAGGGCATCGCGAGAGGAGCGAGGCGAAAACACCGTGGGGGGCTGAAGTCGTAGGTAAGGGTGCTACCCCCACCACATCCCTCCCCTACACCGTGTGGCGGAGAGGGGCGTTGGCAATGTTTTGTACAAATCAGATTCAAACAATTCAGAATAAAAATAACTCGTATCAACTTTGGGCACAATTATTGTTAATTCTAATATAAAAAGTGCAATTAAAAATGTGTATTAGGTAAATTAACCTCATATTCATAGCATCCCACCATATGAAACTCTTCTCCGGGTATCATATTTACTGACAACGTGATGGTGTCACCACTGAAAGTCGACGCGCTAACTTCTTCATTGAACGTCATTTCTTTAAGTGTTTTTAGGTTCAGGAGAATTATTTGCATCCATCTTTTCCCAAAACACGTAAAAGACGCATGTGACCGATGAAAGCAGTTAACAAGAGCAAGTGATAAAACATCTAGGGACTGCCACCTTTCATTTAAAGATAAAATTACGAAATTTGTGCGAGGAGAAAACTCAGTTAATATAAGAAAATTATAAAACATCAAGGGACCACTAAGTTTTATTTAGAGACAAAAGTACGAAATTTGTTTGCAGAGATAGCTGAGGTAATAATAGAAAATGACAAAATATATAGGGACTAACACCTTTTATTCAAAGATAAAATTACGAAATTTGTGTGACGAGAAATCTCAGTTAATATAAGAAAATTATAAAACATCAATAGACTACTACGTTTTATTTAGAGACAAAACTACGAAATTTCATTGCAGAGAAAGCTGAGGTAATAACAGAAAATGACAACATGTAGGGACTACCACCTTTCATTTAAAGACAAAAACGACGAGATTTCAACTGCCTTCGTAAACGAAGCGCCTTTGCGTTCTCCGCCCGCTCACCTCGTGCACGGCCCAGGGCGGGTCGGCGACGCAGGCGCGCGCGCTCTGGTCCAGGCGCTGGCCCTCGGGGCAGCACTTGCGCAGCGCGCGCGTCAGCAGCCCGCTCAGCGCCACGACGGCGGCCGGGCGCGGCGCGGGGGCGTCGGCGTCCAGGCAGAAGCTCTGGCCCCACGCGGCGCGCGCGTCCACCGCCGGCGAGAAGCGCTGCACGTGCGCGAAGGCGCCCGCGCTCGCGTTGACGCGCAGCAGCGCTGCCACCGCCGCCGCGTCCGCCTCCACCACCGCCAGCCGGTGGCCCCGCAGCTCCACGTCGTACCTGCGCACGCGCCCTTTCGTCAGCTGCTAAGGTCATTAGTTACGGAGGTGTTTTATCGCTGCACCGGGGCGAAGGCGCCTGCGTTCGTGTGAAGCGCAGCAGCGCCGCCACCGCCGCCGCGTCCGCCTCCACCACCTAAGGTGGAGGTCTGCCTAAGGTCATTAGTCCCGTCAGTGTTTTATCGCTGCACCGGGGCGAACGCGCCCGCGCTGGCATTGACGCGCAGCACCCCCTGCGCTCGTGTTTACGCACGCGGCCCAGAATCTCCACGTCGTACCTACGCACGCACCCTTTCGTCACCTGCGAAGGTCATTAGTCCCAGAAGAAGGGTACATGTTTTATCGCTGGAGGTAGTGGTGATCTTCCCCCTTTCGATGGCAACCTATGTCAGCTTCAGAGGGTTCTTTTTTTTACTTATGAACTAATCGTTCTACAACAGCACATTCTTTCTCGCATGATTTCAAACTGTTAAAATTTTTGAAACTTCAGAGTGGTCACAGATAATCGGAACTGTGCTATTTTTCTAAGCGTTCCTTCCTATCTCCGCAGAAAACATTTAAAGTAAAAACTTGGAGCCGTTTTTGAAAAAAAAATATAAATTGCATTAATTTCAAACAGAAACTACGCTAAAACTATATTAAGGATTTATAGTTATAATAGAGTCGTCACAAGCAGCAGCATACGACAGAGTTGCGGGTACACGAATCTACTTCTGACGGAAAAATATGCAATGCGCCGTCGTTGAGTTTTAAAAAAAACCGGTGTCGAGATTCGAGGTTTACATTCTGCGCCGTCACTGCATTATATTAGCGAAATATGTAATGTCATTGAGTTGCACAGCTAATAGTGGATAAGTGCGTGACAACGCCAAAAGCTCATTTCCCGAGGTTCATCTCCACACTCCGTGGCCTAGACAGTCTCTACGTCACAATTGAAGTGGATAAGGCTGAATGAGACTGATTAGTTTCTGCACTGGAGATCGATTGGAACCAAATGTAAAATCAATAGACCTAGTCTTCTGAGAGCAGACTTGGTCGTTATACCTGCGCCAATGGACATACTCAAATTCTACAATATTTGTCAGTTCCCTCGGCTTCCTTTCCTTTTGTAGTCGTTCTTGTTTGTTTTCTCAAAATATAAAGAAATATCAAAAAATTGTACGTCATGATTTTCAGTCCCTTAAGTCGCCGAATAAAGTTGAGACAGAACGCCACCTGGAGCGCCAACATGCTGCGACTGGGCTCCGAGTAATGCAACGTCCTTGCTTATTGCAGCCAGCGCTTATTGGAACGAAATAGAATAGCGCGCTCTTACCTTTTGAAATGAAAGAAAATTTTTAAAAAATATATTTTTATGTGATAGTAATATCGAGAAAGAATTGTAAATTACAACATATTATTGATCGATCCGTAGATTGTTAGAAAGAATAGAAGTGCACATCTTTAGTCTGTGAGCACCGTGGATTCAGAGCGACATTTCTAGTTTTGTTACAAAATAAGCTCAACAGTGGTATCATCCGAGCCCACAACATTTCATTGTAAAAATATCCTAATTAGAACAATTTTTATATTAGTGTAAAATAAAGATTAATATTTAAGAAAATATTCAGGAAGTGCAAGTGTGGTTTATATTACAGTATAGGAAATTGGTCAGTGCTATTAATGCAAAAAGATAGATTCTGATTGACGTTGAAATATGTTTTCAAGCAACGTTTCTAACCTCTCGAGTACTCTTACGTAGTATTGAGGAAAGTAGTGTAATGTAGTGAAAATAACCTATTTTTGAATACATAAAGTCGTTTTTTGGTTCCTGATCCCGAAAAAGTGAAGCTTTTTTTGCTCTTATGAGTTTATGAAGTAAATTACGGTCTCTAATACGATGGGAATTCAGAATCCCTTTTTTTAGCCTTGAAAAGTTGATTTTCGGCAAACCTATTGTTCGTCCATTTGTCTGTCTTTCTGAACATCGCTAGCACCTGAACCATAAACAATGTTTGAATCAAATTTCATATTCCTAGATTAATCTGGCTGAGGTCGCAACTCCTTGATTTTGAAACGGATATGGAAATTTTTGGGGTACTGTATACAAATTTCCCAAATTTTCTCAAAAATGGCTCCAATTTTTGCCAAACCTAGGTCTGGAAAGTTGAGAAAGAAGTTGTGTTTTCCAAATAGTGGCCACGAAAATTTTCTTCGACCCCAGGAAGGTATTGAGGTAGTCAGTCCCCAATTTATTTAAAGCCCTTCTCTAGGTCGGTCCCCAATTTACACACAGGTTATAGTCTTATTTTCCCTTTGGTGTCCAGTTTATATACGCCAGGATAATGAACTAGACCTCTGGCAAATGAATTCGAGTAATATTCCAAATGACAAAACAATTAATCGTATTCGATTTATGTAAAACAAAACTTTATTTACTACGTTAAACAACATTTGCTTTTCAAAACTGGCCCCGGTTACCGGGACGTCCGCGTTCAGGAGATTCTTATGTACCTAGGTAGGTATCCCAACCGTTTCATACATTTTTGCCGGTTCAATAAGTATTGCAATATTTTGTAACAGTTACAAACAAAACGAGAAAACATATGTCGTTGTGGCACCACTTCCAGCCACGCGTCCTATTCCGTGAAGTTTCCGACCTTGTCATAAGAGAACGCAGCTGCTCCTTGACGTATGAAAATGACCGTACTCACAAGGACACGCTAACAGCTGATCCTTATGACCCGAAACGCTCGCAGAAAAAATCCCGTTAAAAGTCGCATACCAAAGCCTGTCCAGTACCCACAGAACATTAAAGGGGAAAGATGAACGGTGAACCCTAGAGGAATTGGCAAATGTACCGTAGTAGAAGGAAAATGTATACATGCGTGCCATCAACTACGGACCACCCCCATACATCACTGTATTCCTCTTTTTATGATCTATCTTGCTAGTGAGATACATACACATCTAGTGCTAGTGAGTAACATTTAAAAAATCAATGTTAATTAAATTTCTAGAAAACTAAAAATATTACGAAAAATATCTGTACAGCATTTCTCTTGCCACATAATTCCGCATTATTGAGCGAAAAACTGAATTTCGATATTGTGAACCGTTTAAAAGATATGAGGCTGACCTACAGTTGGTTGGACACCCAGTAACAAACACTGCATGTATTTAGAAATATCCTGCAATCAATTTGCTAGTGCTGTTAAAATATTTTCAGTTTTGCGAGTGTAGCAAGGATGAATGCATTTTGAACATTTGCTGTGCTTGCAGTCCGCGAATACGCAAATGTGAAGTACTTTTCTTGAACAACTAGTCCAACTTTCACTATGTCACTATGATTTTCCGCTTGCACATCTATTATCTACATCTACGATACTAAAATAAGTTTGTAACGTCCACACGGTTGGTCTCATAGTAAATGTTCGTGACAGTTTGCTCGATGCGATTACGCATGACGAAATTTTGACAGTATCCTACATGCGTTGAAAGACGAAACTACCAGTTAATGTTAAGAAAGCCTATAATGATTAATTAATTAAACAGAATCTAATTACCAAAACAAACAGAGAAAAAACTAAATTACTCCCACCCTCACTAACACGCTACCGTTTAACTGAATAGAAGGAATGTCATTTACGTAAAAAGTCCATACGCCGTAACCATTTATGATTTTTAAAATAATATTGAAATGGAAAGATATCAAGAAAACATGGAGGTTTGCACAACTGACAATACTTTATAAAATAAATCATAATTATTGTAAACGATATGCATATGCAACTTACTACCAATGTTGCTACACCTGTTTTAACTTATGCTGTACACTGTAGAATGTAAACTACTGTTTACACTGTAGAATAATTGGGAACTAACGGAGAATTCGAGTGGTGCTTTTCGAGTTGTTTGGTTGAGTGCGGCGTAACCTATTTTGCGAATTGCGTGTTCGTCTCTCATGAAAGAGTATGTTCCTACCCCCTGAGGTATTAAAGAATTAAATTAATGAATTTGTTCCTCAACCTGTGACCTGGCGTTTCCGGCGAACGTTAGATTATGGTATTCTATAAGTACTATGTAGTAATAAAGGGGCATTTCAATGGAAAATGTTATAGAGATTATCCGTCTTGTCAGGTAAAGACGCCCTTCCAATTGGACGCCACGTAAAACTACTGATCGTCTCAGCGCTATTTCGGTGACTCTTACTGAGAAGTCTTTGGGTTCCAGTCCCGTCGGCGTTTCAACACTATCTTTGTAGCTAGGAAGAATTCAGCTCAGTATCTGGAGGAGAATTTTAACAACCGGCTATCTTTATCGGTAGTTATCAATGGTGTCTCCTATCCATTCCAGGCGAACGTCGGGGCACTGTCCTAACAACACGCGATGTTTCCTTTCTTTCTCATCCTTGTCGCTGCCCCTCCCCTTACACACGCACACATATTCGCACTTGAACGAACTACATTACTACACATGTCGGCAGCTTAGTACTTGGATATTAAAACTTTTCCCGGATGGAGGTGTGCCCCGCTGGAGGGGAGATACCTGAAGGGGTAAATCAACGCAAGCCGACCTGTAGGTCGGCGTCGGATCTCATATTTCAGCGGGGGCGAAGAAACACAGCTATCTGCAGGTATAAAACATTCACTTCACTAACACGACTGATGGCCACAGCAATTGACGCATCCGAAAACACGAAATACAAAACTCGTAATTGCCATCGGAGGCGGTGGCTCAGGGCATCATTTGATGTCATTGCAGTGCCCCTTATCGCAAAGTCCTCGGGTTCGAGACTTCAGGGTAGCAGGGTTTTCGACACTAGCCAGATAGAATTCAGTCGCTGTCTGGAGGAGAAATCTAGCGGCCGGCTGCTCTGATCGGTAGCAGTACCCTAACAAACGGGACACAGATCACGTGATCTTTCCTCCCTCTTCCTTGTCCTATACTCACCCCCCTTTACATACACGCACTTACACTTAAATGCACTACAGTACTACACATGCCAGGAGACCGGACGGGAGCTTAGAGCTCGTCCTGGCTAGCTGGTTGGTGATACCAGGTTGTGGAAAACCTTGTTAGCCGACGGGAGGTCGGCGCTGGACCTCACTACCCAGCAGGGGGGATCGCCGTCGCCTCCCGAAAAAAATGCACTACACTTACGAGACTTGCCAGTTGACTTGCCCCGAACAACACATCAATCAACGAATCAACTAATGGCCACAGTAATTGATGGACTCGCAAACACGACATACATAAAACTCGCCGCTGGCAGGTGGGCGGAGCGACGCACCTGGCGTGTATGCGGCGCTGGCGCAGCTGCGGCGGGACCCAGCGGGCGTCCTCCTCGGCCAGCGGGAGCTCCAGCACCTCCTCGCGGGTGAAGTCCGCGACGGACCAGGGCGGCGACACGCACTCGCCCGCGGCGCGGTCGTAGTACTGCGACTTCCAGCAGCACTTGTCCAGCATCAGCGGCTCCTCCGCCGCCACCGCCCGCCACGCCACCGCGGCCAGCAGCAGCGCCGCCGTCGTGCTCATCGCTGCGCCGCGCCGACAGAGCGCCCGGGCGAAAAGACGACGCCTTTTAGGTCTCGCTGCCCGCTGCGCGCCGGGCCGGCCGACGGCCTTGACCGCGCGCTTGGCCCTCGGATGCGCGCGGCGCGGCGCCTCGCGGCCTCCGCCGCAGGACGCACGCGAGGGGCGCTATAGACCCATGGAGCCCCGCTTGCAACGGCCCGCTCAGTTGCTTTCTTAACATCGCAGTTTTACTGACTTCACGCACACCGAGGGACGAAAAGCTATTTGTCACTTACCTAACAATGTATTGGATTGATTGCTTGATTGATGATTGCTGGCGTGCCAATTGCTAAGGTCATGGTTCCCGTTACTGTAGTATGTGTGTTTTTTCGAGATGAAGTGGTGATATTTCCTCGCTGGCTGGCGAGATGCGGCGGGGCGGAATTTTTTCCGAACTAGGTATCTCCCACCAGTGTGGCACCGCCCCAGCCGAGACAAGCTCTTAAGTTCCTGACTGTTCTCCCGACATGTGTGGTAGTGTAGTGCATGCTAGTGTGCAAGGAAGGGAAAGCAAAGATCGCGCTAGGTCTGTGTTAGAGTACTGCTCCGGCATTCGCCTGGCGTTTGAAGGAGAAACCACAGAAAACCAACAATCAGAGCAGTCGGTCGCTAGAAATCTCTTCCGGTCAGTGGCTGAACGTGACCTAGCTAACAAGCTAGTGTCGAAAATCCTACCACCGTTGGGACTTGAACCCAAGGATTCCCCCGGTCAGAAGCACTGCAGTGACATCAGTTTATATCCTGAGCCACTTTTTCCGGTCAATATATTGGATACAATGTTCTAGTAGAGATGGGATTGTTTTCAAAAGAATAAATTAGGAACATTTAGGTCTTAAGTGAATGACACTAATTCTTTTTTTTTTCTGGAAATTACACAGCAAGATTACGTTGCACATTCCTAACGGGCGACATTCATTAAGTCTACAGTTTGTTAAGAACAACTGAAATAAATAAGTAGGAAAAGACGGCTGTTGTGTACTATCACTTCAAGAAAAAGTGTTTCTTATTTATTTGATTTTTTTCTTATATGTATGTGGTATTAAAAAAATTATTGAACAACCCAAGAGCTTATATCACAAAGAACAGACTGGTTTATAAACCTCGACCGTTATTTGCTTCATTTCGACTTAATGACATCACTTTCCTGGGAGGGATTGGTTCTTAAGCAGAGTAAACACATACTTACGACCCCGAACTCTTTTGTTTCGATTATTCGTAACGGACGGTGGACTGTTAAATCCACCGTGAAATATTATAGAAAAGTAATGTGCTGAAATTATTTATTGTAATACATAATTACAATAAAAGGTTATTTATTGTAATGTGTACAATTAAAGTATTCTTATTTTTAACTTATAATTCCTAATTTCATAAACATGAATATTGAATAAACAATTATTTTTTGTTATTATTATTATTATTATTATTATTATTATTATTATTATTAATTGGAAAAACTCCTCTTTGAAAAGAAAATATTCTGGAGTATCCCAAAAACATTTTAAGAAAATGTCGAACTGAGAAAAAATATTTAATGTTGTATTGTATTTATCTTGTTTAAAATAGTAGATGTAAATATTTTTAATAAAATATTTTCAGACAATAAATATGTTATTTGAAAGTGTTTAATTAAGTGTTAGTTCAAAAACTTAAAACCAAGTAAATGAAACGGCGCGGCATACTCCATACGCTGCACGCCTAGTTGCATGACTGTTGCACACGCGCCTAATTAAACAGTAGGTTTAGATATATTGAATTCTTTAAATATAAGTGATTCAGTAGTATAACAATAATCTATGGCATTGCATTGTTTGCGGAAGTTGCTCTTGCCGTCCTTGTTATATTCAAATACCGAGCGACACAAAAATATCTGTTTTCGTTGAATTGTTCTATGAACTGAATCTCCATTTAAATGTGACCTACTTCAAGATGTTTTTTTCTCTATTATACTCAGCTTCACAGCTAATACAATAATATAACTTTACATTACGGCTATGTTAACAACAGCCTTCTCCACATAAAATTATATTTGAATAGTACATTTTTTCATTTTCATTAAAATTTGTATCAATTTAAGCAAAAAAGTCGTTCTATGCCCCCATTCTCTTCATGCCTTATTAAGTGATCCACGTCATTTTAATGGAAATTCTAGCACGTCAAATTGTGCACTTGTTACACAATATTTAGAAGAAGTACTTAACATGGGGAATACAATAACCACATGAAGGTAGAAAATGTAACATCATACTTCACTTTCACCTGCTAAAATATAATTTTGCGGTGTATTTTTTAACAATCAATATAAACTTCCCACAGAAGGCGTTAGTGCTCTTCGATCCCTTCCACTGCAAGGGGTCACTTAGTCCCTCTGCGCTTTTTAGTGAAAAGGTGCGTTCGACATCCCTATACAGTATTTGAGCAACTTCGAGTGTGCGTGTGTGCGGATCCATCACTCATGGTTAGACCACTTCCCTTCCACCAATCGAAACGTATGAGGTGTCAATCATGCGTCTCGGTCTCTTGATGGGGAACTGATCATTTGTTTGCGGATCCGGCCAAAAGATTCAAAGAAATTTCCAAAAACTTTTTTTTTCTTTCTTTTTTTCGTGTTTTGGCGCTGCAATCTTAGTGAGTAGGCCGAGAATTAAACCAATCTAAATACATATCTTTAGGGGAAGTTGATTAAACTCCAGTACCCAAAGAAAATGTTCACTCCATATGCAATAACTTCCTTTCACGACACTGATGTTGCCGTCTTTAAGTGAACAATTGATTTACCAAGTGAATTGCGCTGCAGATTTTATTTTAATTTTGATTCGAATTATCATATTTGTTTCTCGCAACCGCTTACGCGGTAGAGAGAAAGTTACCTACCTCTGTGTGAAAACACGGCGATTTTTCCGCAGAAAAACTCTTATTACAGGGCCCTGATAACGATAAATGCAGTTGCTAAATTTAGGGGAGAAACCCTCTAACAAGTGGTGTAGCCAGAATCCCTGCTTTGTGGGTCCTTGATTCCGAAATATCGATTGACGGCAAAACGTCCGTCCGTCCGTCCGTCCGTCCGTCCGTCCGTCCGTCCGTCCGTCCGTCCGTCCGTCTGTCTGGTGTAATTGAACAGCACTAGCGCCTATAAACTATACGTATGATTATTGCAAACTGAATAAACCACTGTCCATTTGGCCAGAGTCGAAGCTCTGCGATTTTGAAAAACATTCATTAATTTTTGGGGGTAGGCAGCTAGTGTAAATATTAACAACGTAGGAAACGAGTCAAAAAAATACATTTTTGTAAGTTTTGAAAAAACAAAAGAATAGAGCAATGCAGAGTTTACGTCATCTCTTACAGTGCATTTAGCACTATCCTTAACAAAAGACTAAAGAAACAAATTGGAGCCGTTTTTGAGAAAATCGTGTTTTTGTTATTTTTTTTAATTGTACTTGGAAGTACTGCATGCAACATTGCGCGAAACTACGTAAAATTTTCAAAAAAATGACATTAATTAAATAGCTCATCATCAACTATAAAAAACTCATAACAACTATTAATTGAAAGAAAAATCTCTATCCTCAATTTTGTAGTTTGTAGACTGACGCCCAAAAATTACATTTTCAAGTTTTCGACACTTCAAAGTTAGAATTTCTATAAGATGGTATAGTTCTGAAAATAGGACCTATACCATCTTTATAAGTGTATTTTACTCTATTCTTACAAGAAATTTAAAGAAAAAATTTGTAGATGTTTTTGAAAGTTTTTGAAAATGTTCGGCATGCTTCATGTAATGTACCCCCAAATTTTTCAAAATCGCAGTGCCTCGAGTCGAGCCAGATCGACCGGGGAATATCCATTTTTGGAATAAATACGTACTACGTATGGTTTAGGCGCCATTGTGTTCACAGACGGACCGACGGACGGACATTTTAAAAAAATTCCCCTTTTCGGTATCGAGGGACCCCAAAACGTGTATTTTCGTTGAAATCTTCAAGTCGGTTTTCCGCAGCATAATATAACTTTCCCTATACTACTTATATTATTCCGTGTATAAGTACGAGAAAGTAAAAACGGAACTTTTCCGATTTATTAGTTTCTTGATTCTGAGTAATATTTTCAATAAAAAATTAGAAAATGTACTTTATATCTTATTATACCTATATAATGCGATTTTTTGGTTTTTGACAAATAAATCGAATTGGTGATATTTTGTTGCGACCTTCCGATTGTTAATCGCCGTTAGCAACATGCCAGATGCAGGTGTTATCTATGCATCCTCTGCCAAAGAACAGGTCACAAGTTTGTTGACGCATTTAAGGGACGACTCTTCTTCCTTTGGGCGTGCGAGAGGCCGCTATGACGTAGCCACATACGTCATCACTTATGTCGCCTTTGCGCAGATCCGGGAGTCGGCATGAGGGAGCTGCGCAGAACGCTGCGCCTCTGGGACGAAAAAGTCACTTGCTTGGCCAGTCTTACGCGTCTGCAGGGTTGCCATAATACACGGCTCCCTCTGAACGAGAACTTGTACTACATGTGAAACGCATAGAAATCTAGCGATGCTGCAAAAGCACTAGCTTTCTCGTAATAATGGTGACGGTAATGTTACATTATAATGTAACTTCTATCCTCCTTAGCCCTCTTGAAAAATTCTTAATCATGCGCAATGAATTCGGAAAAAAATGAATAGTGTCGACCGCCGGTTACAGTGAACTTGAATATAATGAACCCTCGGTTATAGTAGTGAACTTAAATCACTGGTTCCGTTTCACTCGCATTAAAATAATCATAAGACGATTCGGTTGTAGTGAACCAGAACCTCGTCTATAGTAAAACGTAGGAAATACAACGTCCATAGAATTCATTCCGTCTCGGAAACGAAAATATCGTCTCAGTACCACAAATTTAAGCACTAGACAAATTGGAAAAAAAGTCGGCCAAACGTCATAATCGATGAAGCTTCCCATGAG